TCGGTGTCCAATATTTTTGTTTTGTGGCCGAAACGAGCGTTTTTCATTGCCCATTTCGCCGCTTCCCCAAGCACCCCATCCCGCCTTGATCCCCGCTAAATGCAGCTCTTTTTTTTTTTATGTCTGTCTTGGCCGCAATGCAGTGAGAAAAATTCGTAGAAGTTTGCCTAGGATTAATTGGTTAATCTTGTTGTGTGTTTAAGTGCATAAATGGTTTCCTATTTCTACGAAATAAATTATAAGCTGATTAATCTCGCATTTAGTCAGCGGATTCTTTAATTGATAACATTTTTATGGTGAATGATATTGAGCAAGTGTAATTAACTCGTTTGACGCTGTTGCCCAATTTCAGTTGAATACTCATTAAAACCATTAACGCAAATGCATTGTTGCCAAACTTCAGTTGTTTCATCAAATCAATTTGCATTATACGACACATGTATGCAAGCATTTCTGGCCTTGTTGCCACACTTCACTGACAGCTACAGCCATTGTTGCCAAACTTCATAAAAGTGTTTTAAATACCTTTGTTTTAACTACTTCAAGGCACATTTCAGACTAATTGTATTTTAACTATTCAAATCTTTGAAAGAATGCATTGCATTGCATTGTTGCCACATTTAACAAGATTCTTTAAGCATTGTTGCCAAACTTCACATAATTTACCACAAATATTTCTATCAACAGTAAAATGTTAAATGCCCAAAGAGTGTTATTTGAACAACTTGAAGCAACATTCGCCAAACAATTTAAAGTGCTTGGGCCTGTTGCCAAACTTCATTAACTATGACACTTGTTTAACTTCCTGCCATGGCCATAGAGACTAGAGACCACCTCACCTGCTCCTAAGCAAACGGCACATAAACAAAACTAGCCTGGCATCTGGCCACACGGCATCTAACAAGTTCGACATTTGGCACTTAAATTTAACGCTTGATTGCATTTACGGTGTGCGGCGGTGGTGTGTCGAGTGCCGAGTGCGCTATATATTAAAATATAGTTTCTGTGAGCCAGTGCAGCTGACTACGACCCAGGGCAGAGACCAAAGACCAGACCAGACCAGACCGGGCCATAGACAGCGACTCCGACTGCGACTGCGACTGAGACCATGATGATTGCTTTTGAAAAGCCAATCCAACGTCAACGACTCTATTCTGCGGGTTCTACTTTAAGCCAGAAGGCCTAAGCCAAGCCGTTCGACTGCCGGCTTCTCTTTCTCCTAAACAGCTTTTCACGTTTGCCCCATTCTTCTAGGGCTTGTGTGAAGTGGAGGAGCGCGAACTGGAAAGTGGGAGCTTGGGTTGGGTCTCCTCCTCCTCCACTTGTGGCACATTTCGTTGTCGTCTTTATGCGCTGCACAACTTCCTTGTGCCTAGTTTTGAGCACTTCTCCAGCTCCCTTCCCCCCTCCTCCGCTAACTCAGCCACCGTCCTTCTACTTGGCGTCACTTAGCGTGTGCCAGTTTTTCACTGGCTTCTTTTGGTGTTTACCCAACACTGAACCCCTGCCCTGCACACACCCTGCTGGGCGCACACACAGCCGGAAATGCCGTTTTACACGTGAATGAAATTTTTGTAGTGTTGTAAACGTAATGTGCAGCGTTGCCAAATTTCAGTTCAGCTGTTAAAAACAAGTCAAAAATCAACCGTTACATCGTGCACAACTCGTTTAGCAACAATTAATGTAAAAATTGTCAAATATGCAAATCAAAGAAGCTGGAAAAACTTTTGTTAGCCGCGACTTAGAACAGCCGCGAGCCAAAACAGAACAAAACAGACAAAATATGAAACACGAGGGGGAACCATGTTAAGGGGGGGATTATAGGATAGTATGGGGGTAGCAGCAACATTTTCATAGAAAAACCACCCTAACGCTGGAAAAATGCATAAGGCACAAAGGACGTAGAACGAAGGACGACGGCAAGCTGATGTTGCTGTTAATGTTGACGCTGCGACGACAGACCGCACAAAAAAGGGGGTAAAAAAAAAAAAACAAAATAATAATAATAAAAGGCGGACGTCAGGCCTATGCATAAAGGACTCTGCACACAGGGAAAGGTCGCCGCCAGGCAAAGAGCCATTGAACCCCAGTTACATGTTAAGACTAAAGGCTAGCTAAATGTTGGCGAGAAATAAGTTTTCAAATTAAATGCAAAACAACTGAGCGAACAAATTTGCAAAAATACAATTTAAATACATAGTACAAGAATAAAATATAACAACTGTAAACAGTTGATATTAAAGCAATGCAACAACATCCAGTGTTGTAAAGCGCTATTAGTATAAGCATTTTTTCTCATAAAGTCAAGTTGGGCACTCTGAAAGAAGAAGAGCGCGCAAATTGACGCTGACTGATGAACTAAAGAAACAAGTGGAAATAAAGTAGAGTATTAAAAAATAATATTTGTAGCTCAGCTTGGTTTGAGAATCTCTCAAATGGGAGTCTCCCCTTATGCAGTTTTTTTTGTCTCTTTTGTCATTTCGCAACTCTAGCAGGAATTATATCTGAGTTCAATTAGCATGTTATCAACTTCTTTTGAAGTTATTTTCAATTAAACATTTTCACATTTTAGAGCCCACAAATAAGCTTTAACAATGCCAAGAGCTTCAACTACTGAGATCGGTTAGCATCTATTTTTAAAGAATATTTAGGCTCGTAATAACAAGATTTAAGAAGTGTTTTAGAAAGTTCTTATAATAGCTAGCCCTAAGCATTGTTTGATGAAAATAGCATGGAAAAACTTACCAAACAACGCCGAATGCACCGTAGCCAATTGGACGATCCGGCTGTACATCCTGTGGCACCGCTGGCGGCTGATAATACGGTGCCGCTGCGGCCAATATTGCGCTGGCGCCCTGTGGCGCACCACCGGCAGCACCACCCTGTACCAGTGACATCGAAACGCTCATCGAGCTATGCGGTGCAGCAGCTAAAGGATTTGGGCAGCTGTCGATGCTGCTCCTTCTGGAGTAACTGGATGCTCCTGTCTGCTGTGGATTAGCTGCCGTTTGATAAAGCCTCTGCTTGCTGCTGTTGTTACCCTTGTTGGTGTTGTTATTGTTGTTGTTGTTGTTGGTGTTGGTGGTGTTGTTGGTGTTGCTGGTGTTGCTGGTTGGATGGGAGAAATGGTGTTGATTGCTCAATGGATGCCGCTTGGGGCCACTAATGGCCGCCATTCAATAGTTGCCCATTTGGTGTTTGTAATTTTTATTGCTCGTCTTGTGTTGTGCACACAAATTTGTTGTATATTATTTTATTTAACACATTAGAAATGAATTTTAGCGAATTTTGTTGAAATTTTTGCACATTTTTTGCTTACTTTTCCGGCTATTGTTGTTGTTGTTGTCGTTGTTGTTGCTGCTGGCGACTGCAAGAAATAAAGAATTCAAGATTTAGAATTTGGGCGCATTTTTGCCAGGCGAAGGAAAAAGGAAAACGAAAAGTAACAAAAAAAAAAAAAAAGAAAAAGAAACTGCCGTTAGCTACGGCCGGGGCGCGTCCGTGTGTGCGCGCATGTATATGTATGCGTGAGTCAGTGAGCGAGCGCAAGAGCGAGAGAGCAAATAAACACACTCAAAAAAATAAAATAAAAATAAAATGCGAGTGGAGTTTGGAGTTTTTTTAATGTTTACATGGGAGCGAGCGCAGACAGTTTAATCAACTTGAAGCAGATAAAAAAAAAAGAAGTGAAACATTTCTTATTTAATATGTGCACATGTTTTGCAATAACAGCAAAAGAGAGCGACGCGCAACAACAAAGTACGCTCTCAGCATGCTTAGCGTCAGCGTCGCGCACTTGACACTTTTTTGCTGGTGCTGCGACGCCAACGCTGACGCTGACGCCGACGCCAAGGCAACGCTCATGGAAAACAAAGCACAGTAAAATAGAAAAGTGCACTGAAATGCAGAAAATGTGCGGCATTTGTATGACACATGGAATTCGGATACATTTGACAGACTAATTTCCCATTGCTTACCTTAAAAAAATGCACAATTATTGAGCGGCGGCAGCAGCTGCGGCAGCGGCAGCGACAACGGTGGGGAGCTGATTTCGTTGGCTGCGGCGACTCTTCCGCATTTGTGTGTATGAGTGTGTTTGGCGTGCGTGCGTGTGTGAGTGTGTGTGCAGCGTCGGTGGCGGCGGCCGCGGCGGCGTTAGAGACAAACGATATGAAATTTACAAATGAAAATTCGATGCTAACTTACAACACGACGCGAGCTGCGACGGCAACGTTGACTGCGACTGTGACTGCAACAGCGGCTAAAATGCAGCAAGTCTCACGAATTTGTTGTTATTTGTGATTTATTAACGCACACACACATTCACTTAGAGACAGACGCACACATGAGCGACAGCGAGACCGACGGCAATCAATTGAATTATATTTTTCTGAAACTTTTTACTTGTGCATTTGTCACGTTTGTTGGGGCACAATTATTATTGCATTATCTGGTTATTACACTACCCGAAGTTTGATAGGCAGCAGCGTTGTTGCTTTTGCAATACATGTGTGTGTATGTATTAATTTTTTTCCTTTGCCTTTTGCAAGAAACACACGCGGCGTCTTTTTACCGATTTTATGCGTGTCGTTTATGCGAAAGTCATGATAGGACTGACAACAACAAAATTTCTAGCGATGTGACCGGGCCTGCGTGAGTGGTGTGACCAGTCGTTTAATTTTTGGTATTTTCATTAACAGCTGAGTTTTAGCAACATGTTGCCTCAACTCTGCAGCATAACAGCATGTAAGCAAATCCCATTGAGCACTAACAGCATGTTCTAACCATCATTTTAAGTGAATTTAACAGCTCTCAATCAATTTACATACTTAATTAATTTCCCTGTCATATTTTCTTGTGTTAGCAACATTTCCGCCAAGTAAACGTGTGACCAGCTGTTTTGTTTTTGCCATTTGGTGATTAACATAGCTATGTTATGTTAACATGTACAGCTGTAACTATCGATAAGTACTCGCTGTTGCCGATATTTGCGGTAGGTACGCAGTGCAGTCAGCAAGATGTATGTGAGCAGCGTACCTTATCTGACACTCGAATTTTGTAAACAAATACGTCAACATGGAACGAGAGACGGAAACGCTGAAGGAATTCCTCACCGATCTCGTCGTGCCGCACCATCGCTGCAATGTTAACATCATACCCGATCACATCACCATGCTGCATGGCACCAAAAACAAAAAGCAACACAGCCGCAAGCGGCGCGCCCACAAATCGAGCACGCTGACACGCCGAGAATACGCACAACTGGGACTCAATACGCTGCCCACACGGCAAATGCGCTACGAGCAGGCGCTGCCGCTGCACAAGCTCTGGCGCGGCTACCTTCGCGAGCATCTAGAGCTGCGCGAGGGCGACGAGGTGCCGCAGGTGCACGAGAAACGCTACGAGGAGTTCAGCAAGCAGCTGGTCAAGCTGGATTTGCATGGCGCCAAGCTGCGCGTGGTGCAGTCCAAGTGCCCCACGCTGGTCGGACTCAGCGGCATCTGTGTGCTGGACACAAAGAATGTGCTCAAGCTGCTGGGCGAGGATCATCGGGTGCGCACCGTGCCCAAGAGCGAGTGCGTCTTCGGCATGCACGTGGACAGCCTGGAGTTCATCATATTCGGACAGCATCTGAATATGCGGCCGGCGGAGCGCAGCGTGAAGAAAATCAAGAGTTATGTGGAGCCCTTCATGTAGCCGCACAATAAATGCCGCCGAAATGTAAATCTTTAATTAAAATTTCTTCATTGTTTTTTTTTTTTTATATAAAATCGTACATTTAACGCCCCAGTCGAAGGGCGACTGGAAATATCGCGTCATGTTCATTACATATGTATTTATTTATAGCTTTAAATGTTTGTTAGTTGTGTTTGAGTTTCGATTTTGAGAGAATCTACGCAGCCGGCTTGGTCATGGTTATGACAGCCGAGGGCACCAGGCCCAGCACCTCCAGCGGCTTCTCGTAGTCATCGTCGGCAAAGATCTTGCGCGGAAATGTGGTCATCAATGCGAACGGCGTCTCAATGCCGGTCTTCACCTGTATAAAGACGCGCACCGCCGACAGCGGTTCCTTCACATTGAACTCGGAAGCCAGTGTTGAGCCATCCTGCAGTCGCACCTGTATGCGCGTCTCGGTATAATCGCGTGGCGGCGACTTGACGCCCGTCGGCGTGGTGGCCGTGGTAGTCGAACTGACCGAGGGCACAGCGTCCGACGGCTTGCCGGGGCTGCTCTGCTCTGCCCTGGAATAATGATTAGGCTTTAGCTGGAGCGGTTGATTTTAAGGGTTGCTCACCTGGCTTTGCGTGCCGCCTTGTCGGCCTCGATCTGTGCGCGCACACGATCACGTGCCGCCTTCTCCTCCTCCTTTTCGCGTTTGCGCTGATCAACGATCTTTTTCATTTCGATTTCCTCCATGCGACGGCGCGCCTCTGTCATGTCCTTGCCGGAGCGTATGCGATTGCGTTCACGTTCCAAGGCATCGGCCTTTTCGCGCTCCTCACGCTCGACGCGCTTCTGCTTGAGCTTCTCCTCGATCAGCGCCAGCTGTGCCTTCTTTTCGTCCTCGGTCAGCGCCTTCTTCTCCTCAGTGGACTCAGAAAAGTTGCTGTGACCCGTCTTGGCTGCATGGTACTCGACCTCTGTTTGATCCTTCAGCACCTTGCCGCAGTCGTCGCATTTCAAAGATTTGGCAACGGCCGCTCCGCCCGAGACGTCGGCGGCGCCGCTGCTGCTCGGCGCAGAGTCTTCGGTTGCAGCTGGGTCGGCGGCTGCAGTTGGTATCTCTTCATCGCCGTGGGCCAAGAGCCACTCCATGGCTATCTCGACGCCTTTATGGCTAGTCACACTTAATGCATATTCTCTATGAATTAATATAAAAACATAATAAAAATTTGCCGGCGAAGAATATATTTCGACATATACTTACACTCTATCTCTGGGAAAACCCATGTCCATTAATGTTTGTACATCACTCATATCTGCAGTCTGAATTTCTAGCGCAAATGTCTCAATAGAACACGTAAGTTTGTGCAAATGCTAAATTTTTTCCACTTAATATTTTCCCTGCAATAATGACACACAAAAACAATGCTGCGTTGCTAGTGTTGCACAACGTCAAAAGTGAATGCTCACTCTAAATGAATATTTTGTTTTAATCGATTAGGTGTAATGCGTTAAATTAACAACAAATAAATAAATAACATTAAGGGGCAACACATTAAATAAACTAAACATTTTTAGTGTATAATTAATAATAATGCGGCATGTCAAGCTTCTTATCTACGTCTATACACCTATCGATATATCGATAACACATCAGCTGCTTTCAATATGCAGTTGCGTCGCTGCAACTTGAACAACCGATAGCGTCGTATAACCATTTTGTTAGCGTTACTATCAGAAAATGTCGCCTCAAAATAAAATCAAGAAGATGGTGATTAAAATACCTCGGCATCCGTATATCATAGCACAAGGCGAATTCGATTATCAGGAGCGCGTTCAAATACGCAAATGTCGCGTCAATCTGGAGCGCATGAAAGGACAGCAGACAGTCGGAGGACGCCCATTCCCATTAAAGCCCAAGCCGAAGCGTTGCTGTGTTCGCGTAGCACGTCTGCCAAATGTGGAACGCAGCGAGATATCTGTGACACCAGCCAGCTCCATAGTGTGTTCGGATTTTGATGATGGTATTTGTGTGCTTATCGCTGAGCTAATTGCAGCTATTTAACAGTTTTTATATTTACAGATTCTGCTGACGAATAGATGATGCAGCTGCCATTGCCGCGGCGCCCAATCACCAATTGTACTGAAGACTAGACAGACCAGGCAGTGGCATCATGTCCGCGACTTTTCACACTCATATTTTGTAGCTGTAATTTTGAATATCTATAAATACATTTGTAACTAATATTTGTTGCTGTAGCTGTTGTTTTTTTTTTTGCTCGGCTTGTTTGAAAGCACAGCCGATAAACCAAAAGTTATCGATATTAAGCTTGTTTTAGAAAGTTTCATCACTATCCCATGGATGTCAGGTGGAAAAAAATATTTGTGAAATAGCCAAATTTTTCGGTAATAAAACAACATTCTAGGCAGCAAACAAATATGAATTGGCACACGGGTACTATTGCAGAGGCTGTGGCGGAATCTAAAGCCAAAGATGCCATCTTCGTTCTCTACATTCAAGGTAAAAAAAACCAAAATAAAAACCACTATCAATTTTTTACCACGTCATGTTTGCTAATTGGACATTATAATTGAATAAACACTGCGCCACACACAGGTCAGGATGAGATGACAGCTAAGCTGGATAGATTCCTGAACGAGGGGCGCGTGACCTCGAAGTTGCAAACATCCGACTTTGTGGCGGTCAAGATACGGGGCGACAGTGAGGCGTACGCTATGTTTATATCGCTCTGTAAGTACAGTATGCGCTGGCTAAAGTGAACAGTGGGACAGTTTTTTGTATGCATTAATCATTTGCCCTAAAGATAAAGTGGTGCCAGTGCCATCAATCTTCTTTATTGGTAAGTCTGGCACCCCGCTAGATATTGCCACGGGCATCATTGGCAGCGTCGAGGAGCTGGTGGCCAAAATCGATAAGGTGCTGCTGCTGGCGGGCAAGCAGACAAATCCGGATGCAACCACGAGCAGCGCAGTTGCAAACGAAGCCAATACACAGCAGCAGGAAGCAGGTCGCACAATTGCCGGTGCAGACAGTACCGAAACCAGGGAACCGGCATTTGGGCAAGCGGCGGCCAAGAACACAACGCAGGCGGTCGAGCAGGAATCGGAGATAACAGTGGCAGAGCCAGAACCGGAAGAGCCAGCTACACCCGAACCCATTGCTGCGGTGGAATCAAGCTCGCAACTTGAAACTGTTGATCCGCCAAAGCCTGTAGCTGCGCCTCAAACGGCTGCTGCGCCCGAGCCAACTGTGGCGGCGATGTCAGCGGCAGCAGCTGCTGAGAAGCGTGCGGCCGCAGCTGCGGCTGCCACAGCCACATCTCAAGAAACAGCAACAGCAGTGCTGCCCAATGGAATGGCCCCGATCGTGCCCATTGCAATGCCATTAATACCGCCAAGCGCACAGAGCGGCGCACGTGCGTCCACTGAGGAGACGGACATGAGCATGTCGCAGATTCAAATGCTTGTGGAGCAGCGCAAACAAGAACGCCTCGAGGAGCAAAAGCGACGCGACAAGGAGAACGAGCTGCGACGACGTCGCGAGGGCCGCGAAGCGCAGGCCCAGCAAATGATCAACCGCGAACAGGAGCTAAAACAGTTGCAAGTAAGTCACAATCTCGAATGCCAAAAAAAAAAAATGTCTAATTGAAAGCGTTTCTCTTCTCTTCTCAAGGAGCGCATACGTCGCGAGCGCCAGCAGGAGCAGGAGACACGTGAACGAATTCTTGCGCAAATTGCTGCCGATCGTGCCGAAATGGCGAATCGTGCATCCGCAAATGCCGAGGTACAGAGTGTTAACACGTGCACAACGACATCGGCTGTGCAGGACTTTTCTGCCACATCGGTGCAGGAGACGCGTTTGCAAATCCGTTTGCCAGGCGGCATTACGCGCACCAAAGCCTTTCCCGTCGCGGAGCCACTGGTCACAGTGCGCGGCTATGTGCTGGAAGAGCTGCTTGCCGGCAGCAACATACGCGAATTCACACTGGCCACCAGCTACCCGAGACGTGAGTTCAAAACCGAGGATGAGACAAAGACGCTGGGCGAGCTGAATCTGGTGCCCAATGCTGTGTTGCTCGTACTCAAAGGCGAACAAACGAATCGCGTAGTGCGCAGCAGCAGCAATCTGGTGAACATTGTGACCAGCATGATTTGGGCAATACTCACACCGGCGGCCGTCGCATTCGATTACATCAACAAAATGGGTTTCCAGCGTCTGCGACAGCGCGTCATGCAAATGGTGTCCAATGTTGGCTGGTCGAAACCTCCAGTGCGCCCCGCGGACAACGGCGATGGGTAGGCTAAACAAGTTCGACTAACTCAAGGCAAAAACTAATGCAGCATTTCTTTACGCATTTCTGACAGCACCGTGCAACGCAATATGGATTTGTTTATGCTGCGCACGACAAGTGGTCCACCGGGCTCGCAACAGCCAACTCCACAGAATGCAGTTGGATCGCCGGCTCATCAGGCGAAGCCGACGCTCGTCTCGCACAGCGATGCGGATGCCGCATCTGTACATGAGCTGACACATCAGCGCTCCGGCGGCATTAAGCCAGCGCGTTATGGTGAATCGAATATACGTCGATTGGCAGATAGCGCTAAGGACGATGACGAGGATAAGGCCACCTATAATGGCAACTCCACACAACAGCAATAAACTACAAATTACAAATAGCTATAAATTTTCTCTATAACCATGCCCGTTACATTCACAGCTTCAAGGATATGCAGCCTGAAATTTAATATTATTAACTAAATACAAAAGTAAAGGAAATCAACTATATATTCAAATATTGAAATTCGTTTTGTGTGTGTGTGTGTGTGTGTGTTACGTGTCTTTTTATTTAAACGTGCCAGAAAAATGATCAGCAGACACAATATGTGATAAGATATTATGGGTAGGCCAACCAATATGTTGTTTAAACAATTCGTTCTAATGCAAAATTTGTTAAATTAACTACGTTAATGCGTAGCTGCTTAAATGTGATTATTTAAATACACGGTATAAAAGAATAAACATAATTACCTAAATGATTAATGCCTTTTTATTTGCTGACATATATATATATATATGCATAATCACAATTAAGTGCACTCGCCAAAACGCATTCAAAGTTCGTCATGAATATATATATATATATATATATAAACTATATATAGTAGTGATATTTGCTCGATCACGTGCGTCGTTTTAATACAATTTAGCCTCAGGTCCAGGGTTTATACGTTTAATACAATTACATAAAGAAATATGTTGTAATAGGATCTCGATGTCTGTGAGGGTTATAACAAATGATGCGTCAACTTAGCTACTAGAACGTAAAGACGGACTGAAGATTGGAGGACTTTACAATGTGAACCACATGAGAAACTGCAAGAGCTTGTAGACATTGACCAAGGGGAATTTCCATTGCTCTTTGCGTAGCAGCGGAGGAACCAGGCTGGGATAATGCACAGGATTGCCAATGTGGCAATTGGTGTTCACTGTGCCGCCAGGATACTTGATGGCCACCACATCGCCCAGCTTGACGCCATCGCAGTCGATCAGCTGCAGTGTTTTGTCAAAACAAATTCGGATTTCCGACAAAAAGCTTATGTCGTGCTTGCCATCGAATAGACAATGTATGGAGGGATTCTTGCCCAGGCCGCGCACCAGGGCATTGTTCAAAGCAATGACCGTATTGTTGGAGTCGGGATGTATGCCCGCCGCATCCAGTATGTTGGCTATGACGTATTGTTCGCGCCACTTCAGGCCCTGGCCAAAGTACTTTAGCTCATTGTCGAGGGCATCGAGCACGGCGGCGCAGGTGCCGTGCTTCAGCCATTCGTGCTTCCAGAGATATTCCTGTGATGAGTCGCCCTCCAGGTCCATCCAGTAGGTGTTTAAGCGATCAATAATCGCTTGCAGCTGATCCGGATTGAATTCGGCGGATCTGTTGCAAAAGTTTGGTCCGATCTGGCCAATTTTGGTGGGCCAGATGCCGTGTATGGTCCAGAACTCCTTCTTCTGCGGCAACGTGCACTCGTGCGTCGGATCCTCCTCCCTCCAGTGGTAGCAGGTGGTCACGGGCCATTGCTGCGTGAATATGAGCACGTCCCAGCTGTGCGCGTCTCTGCCCAATTCATTCATATACAATGGATAATACTCGTCGTCCTCATCCTCATCGGAGAAATCGGCGGCATTGGGTCGCTGCAGCGGCTGTTCCACGGAGCTGCTCGACTCGCCCCAGGTCAGGTTGGACAGGGCGATACCAGAGTCCGATATTTCATCTAGGTTGAGGCTAAAAAAAAACACACACACGCACATATATGAAACCAGCTGTGAGTAATTTGTTGTGGTTTACAAGGGTTTTTTACGGCGGTGGCGTTTGGGGACATGGGGGTAACCTTGAACTTGGTAGCTTTTCAAGCGCACAGCGTACTCGGCTTATCGAAATATCGATTGATATTTCTAACTGTATATGCTATATAACTGTATTTTGCTTACGTTTGCGCTAATCTCGCGCTGCAACGCATTTTCATTTTCTTTTGTGTGTGATTTAGTTTTTCTTTTGCACCGCCAACGCAAATAAATAAAAACGTACACTAGAAACTTCCTTGCCGCTTGTTGTTGCCAAATATTATTATTAATGGGCACTTACCTCAGCGGGCTCGCCTTTGTCGCAGCAAGGCTGCATAACAAAACCGTCAGAAAAACCAAACGTTGTTGCTGCATCTGCATAATTGACTTTTGTTTTAAAATAACGTAGCGTAAGTAAATTATTTGGTGTAAATATGACGCATTTTCTTCAGCTATTGCAAGCCATACACTTGTGTTGTTTTCAAAAACACTTGTGTTGCTTTCTATCGTGTCAATCTAAATATTAGCAAAAAAAATAAGTTGTATAGTTTATTTATGCACTTTTTGTTTTTGTATTTTTCTTTTGCGCTGCTGTTGAATTGCTAACAGCTGTAAATGGCAACTGTAAATGAAAAGAGTGCTGTAAAACACCATGCAACAGATACCTGCCGCAAGGCTGCTGTAAAAACTGCTATCGATAAATCGATTCTATCGGTGAACGCGCTCCCAAATCAAATTTCAAAATTCAACGGTAAGTTGAAGTTTTTAGATTCTTAAGAGTTTTACAAATAGAATATCACTACAATTGAAGTCACTTTAAAAATAATAGCCAATCTTTTGGTCATACGACTTTCTCGCAATAGCTGCACTAATTGGGGCAACTAAGCTTGTCTACTGATACCGGATTTGTGGAATACGACAATTTGTCTGCACAAATCACAATATCCCGATAATTAAATAAAAAATCCCTCAGAAGTTTCATTTCTACGATAAGAATGAACTTTTAGTTGACTAAAAAAGAAATTCACACACGCACACACACACACGTGCGCCTCATGCGCTTTAATTAGTGACAACGATAATTACACACATTTTGTGCTGGCACAATTGTGCTATTTTATCTATGAAATACAAACATGACATGTAGCCAAACACTAAACGACTTCTGTTGAAAACCCAATGACTACTCACCGTACAACAGCAACAACAACAACAACAACAACAGCCAATAGCCAATATGACAAGACGAACAACAAGAGCAACAACACAAAATTTTCTGCTACTGAAATAACTACAACCAGTGTTAAGCAATTGATTATTGCTTAACTGTACTTTGTACTTTCCATTGATGATCCAACCAAGGGGACCTAGATAAAGAGCCCATTCCAGGCCCGATCCACTTATAGGGTATTTGTCACCACTTATGGCAACTTTAACACTTAGTGTCAGCAATTTTATCAAATTCAATTAGTTCGCCCTCCTCTGATAAAAGTCATTTACATGGGCTCAAAATGCGTTATCATAGCCTTGTCATAGGCTTTATCATAACATTTGTGATTATTTTGTCATGTTTTCTGCATTCGAACTAAAAGTACACGATACATTGGACAAGAACAACTGTGGGATCCAACTGGGGGTTGCTTTTATGCAGATTTAGCTGGCAACGTTTTTATGCTTTGTTTGATGACAAATTAATTTAATAATAACAGCTGCAAACATTTTGTAATCAATTCGGGCTCGGCTCAAATTATCGTCTATGTACAATCAATTAATGTTTACTGTTTTGCTTGTTTTTGTTGCTTTTTTTTTTATATGCGAAACATTATTTTGCTGGCATACTTTTTGTGTGTGCATAGTCTAAGTGTATGGCATTTGCTGGCATATTGTATGGAATTACTGAGTTTCGATAAAGTTATTCAATTAGCAACATTTACTTAGCATTCCACCTATGTTCAAGTCAAGCAGCTCGCTCAAAAAACTGCTCAACTTGACAAAATTATCATTATTTGGCGCAAATAGTCAAAAAATCGTCAAGAGGCACGGACCAAACAAAAAAAAAGTTGAGCCATTAATTTTAAAATGCGCCCATTAGAAGTCGACGCTGCCGCAGCCAACTTCGCGTAATGAACGCCATCATCATCTGCAGCTGTCCGCCATGATGCTGTCGCTGCCGGCGTTGGCGTTGGCGTCGTCGTTGGCGTCGGCGGCGGCATGTTGGACACGCAACGCATGCGTCGAGAGCAGGCGTGCGAGAGCGAAAGAGAAAGCGCGTGCCAGTGAGAGCAAAATCTGTTGTGGGTGGAGTCAGCATAGCTGGCATTATATATGTATGTATACAGAGCATATAAGCCGGGGGTAAGCAGAGAAACGGTAATTGCCTCAATTTACCGTACATACGCGCAGAACGTAGCCAGTCACTTGACGTGCTGCCCTTTTTTGTTGTTTTCTTCACGACGTCGTTGACGTCGCTGTCGTCGTCGCTGTTGTTGTTGTTTTTGTGCAATTGCTGTGTAAATGGCATGAGAATGATAATTGTAGCAATTATAATATTAAATTGGGAGATCATGGCTCACAGGGTTTTCCTTTTCGTTTGCCTTCTTACCCACCTCGCCCGCCCGCCTCCCTAGCAGCACCGCTGCGCCAACGTTTTTATATAGCATACTTTTTTGCTGTCATCGCCGGCGCTGACTTTGGCCCAACTTCGGGCCTCACTCTAGCACCATCTCTTTCACTCCCCTGGGCATTTTTGTTGCTGCTGTGTATTTTGTCGGATTTGTTTGTTAATTAGAATTCTAGCGTTGAAATTAAAATGCTCACCCCACTGCCGCTGCCAGCGCTGCTGCTGCAGCCAGCGCGCTGCTGCGGCATTAAAAAACAAAATGATAAAAAAAAAAATGGCGAGTAGTTTTTTGGGGCGTTGTCTGTGGGTGGAATCGCGTTTGAGTTTTTGGCTGCCTTCTTCTCTTAATTACTGCAGTTTATTTTCTAAGTGAGACTAATTAACAGGCCATTCGTAGCATTGGGGCACATTTCCGTTGAGCTTCCGTTTCTCCACTTGCTTTCCATGCGAGCTTGGCTAACGAAATTGGTCAACATTTCGGGCTAGTTAGTTGGCTGATAGCATGCAGAGTGGCCAACTGTCATGTGGACAGGCATTAAAAAGTTTTTTGCTGCTAAACTTTTTGTGCCCAATTAGTTGGCAAGATATTAGAGAAACTTTTAACAATCAAAAGTGGAAGCTACGAAACTTCAACTTTCGCTCAATTTATACAAATTTATAATGACTGTAACATATAATGAATATAAATTGCATGCTATTATAAAATAGGGCAAAAGAGATTTGATTTTAGATTTTGAAAGTTTCTCAAAGTGTATGGAACTTTAGTTTTTATATCATATTAAATTTGGGCTTAATGTAGATAACTAGATAACATTCTTTAAGAGAAACGGAAAGAAAAAGGAAGAAGAGCAGACTAAATTATCGAGCATTTTTGTTCCTGTTGAGCTTAGCCATGCTCAAAACTGAGTACTCGTATTTTTACACAGCATTTGCAAAATTTGCGACTTGTTTACTTTTATATTGCCAACCCCCATCTATGCCAACTAATCTAACGCTAATGTTCGACTGCTCTCCACTAAGCCACAAATTTACGTTATTAGGGCAACATTAGACGCACGGCTAATTATCAACACTGTCTGGCAAAGCAGCCGCCGCCGGTGCCACCAACCGAAAAAGCGCCAGTTCAGCAGAAAAGCGAACCATCCACCCACCAGCAAGGGTAATACTTAATATATAAGAGCGCCAAGCGTTGGGCAGAGCGCAACCCTCGCACGTTAATGAACGTAAAATTCACTTAATTCCAACTTTGGCCATGAATTAAGCACGACAAATGGTTGGGCGAGTCGCCCGGGGTGGTTGGCATCCAGTCGCTGCGCAGCTCCGACTGGTTGGGCATAAATAAAGCGTAAAGACGTGCCGGTTGGGCGGCCCAGAACCTGGACCGTGTGTGCTCAGTCTACGGCCGTAGCACTGGTACAATAAGTAAATGTGCTTTTATGGCTCTTAATTAAGGCAATGATGGGGTGTTTTAATACGTTTGCCAAATGTTAAATGACAAAGTGGCAGTTGGACGAGGCACGTTCTCAGCCAGTTTGCTGCTTGCTTTTGCTGTTAATGAAGCCGGCTTTTTTGCCTTTCGACAATGTGCATTTCCTTTGCATTTTTGTTGTTTGGATTGAAGTGTGGCCGTAAAGCGCTTTACGTCGACTAATTAGCCTGAGAGCACTTTCAAGCTGCTGGCTAAGAACAAGCCAAATTATTGGCCTTTTATGGCTGATTGATTTTAACTGGCTATAGCCAAAACTAAGGCTCTCAATTTGACGGGCTGCTCCTGCTGTCTGCTGTCTGTTTTTTTTTTTTTTTTTATGATTTGTAAATGTTTGTCTTGGCAAGTTTATAGCTACATTTCCCGAACAACTAAATGGCGCCATTTGTGGCTTTTTATATGGACTGACCGTATATTTATATATGTATATATAAATCTGTGCTTATATGTTGGTTTGACTGTACACATAAAAGTCGAAATGCGTGAGCTAAAATAACATTTTCAACACTTTTGGTTCGATGAATCAAATGTTTTACAAGGCACAAAGGGGCGGCAGTTAGGGGTAGCTCAGGCAGCACATAAATATATGCTAGCATATATATATATCCATATATATCTCTTCTATATATATACTATATATAGCGTTAAACTTGTATCCATTTAGAGCAAATTAGTATGCCACGCACGTTTCGCCCAAAAAAATAGCCAAACACTGAAAACCAAACAAAACAAAACAAAACAAAAAAAAAACAGAAACACAAAAGCGGCAACAAAGCGGAAACGGAAAGCAACAACAGCAACAAAATGGCGTAAACGCTGCCCTTTGTCGTTGTCGTTGTTGTTGGCATTTTTTTTATGACTATTTATATATTCAAAACAAATGCAATTGGTTTATTACACATCAATAAACGCGACCAACCAGTCAAATTTGCGCTGCGGTTAAGAAATCAAAAAAAAAAAAACCCAAACGTATTTGATACATAAATACGTGCATATCCATGTCTGGCATAAACGTGATCAAATTATGATTTGATGGAGTTTGCTATTTGGCTGAAAGTATCGCTATATACAAAACTGTTTGTGCTGACTGACTGATTGAATGACTGACTGGGAGATTCTTTCTGGTTCTTTCTAGGTGCAATTTTCACTGTACTTGCCTTATGTGTTGAAGATGCATATTCAGGAAATTCCGTTCGCACCTGTGAAAAAGTTGCGAGAAAACGTTTTTATACAACTTTTCTTGTTACCATTCGATCGGCCTCATTTTCTAAGATCTTTCTGCTGTTCGGAAAATCCAAGCTGCCTCGGTGAAAAGTGCGATTCTAAGACTTTAATGGAGATTGAGAGATACAGACTTTATATAGAGATATAATACTTTATGTTATAACCATTTATTTTCGATTGTAAGCACACTTGCTTTATGCCTTAACAAGCCCTTTCTTATAAGCCCAGTCCTAGCTCTGTGTTCTGCATTCTTCATATTTCAAGCTGCAAACTGTTTGC